TTATTATTTCAAATATCAGATTTATTAGAAATACCCAGGGACAAGGCAGATTCAAGACTCACAGGACACACAGAGAGCCCTACTGGTGGCATCCATACTGATACAGATGTACATGGCAAGAACTTACTCTACACTGTTCTACAGGATGCTTTGTGCTCGTGGCTTTAAGGCTCAATTTGCAGGCACAGGGAAATATGTCATTTGGAAAACCTGAGGAGAACAACAGTAACAGTGTGATTTCATATCAATCAAGATTATCCCTGCAGCCAGCTAACCACAAATCTGTGGCATTAAGATTATACAGAAGCAAGGTGGATGAGTGGTTATCACTTTGTGCAAAAATGCATGAAAGATGACTGTGCAAAAAAACCCTGCTGTGCTGGGGGGAACATTACTGGAAGTAATTCTTGCTTTGCTCAGATTTTTGTATTAACAACCTCAATTTAAATTCCTTTGGTGACAGAAGGTGGCACATTGGAAAATAATATGATATTAAAATCACAGTGGCCAGATACTGAGTTGCTGAGCAACCAGACGTAGCTTCTGACATCTTAAAAGTTCAGAAAACATCAAGCTCCGGAATCAGCTTCCTAATTATGGACAGCTGAACTAACCATTTCTAAAAATCTTGGCCACCATTTAAAAATACATCTTAATTCTAAGGAAGATTATGAGTCACTGTTCCAAGAAGCTTCCAAGTCCATACCTGTAGCATACACACATACAAAAGGGGAATTAAAGAACTGAAAATTCAGAGACTGATTCTAAAAATTTGCATGAGTCTACAGTTTAATAACACTGAAAAAATTTAGTATGTTGATTATGATCCCAATATTAAATTATTCATACATTTCCTTTACTGCCTCTCCTTTATTTTTACTGATTGAAGATTATTCTGTGATTCTTGCTGCCAGTATGTTCTCACTATATGCTGTGCTCATCTGCAGTGTCATTTCAAGTGTTTCAGGGGTGCCTGTATACAGGTAAAAATTCAATGGCTTCAAGAAAGGACATTTCACTGGAGTATTTTTCCTCCTTGCTAATATGCTCGACCACATAGGGAGGACCTAAGTTTTTAATCCCTGGTGTATTCTATTTATATTAGTTTAAATATAAAAGGACAGTAAATATTACTGTAACATGAATTCTGCTGTGAGAAAAGCGACCCTACCAAAAGCACGAAAATGCTGCTAAATGGATAGGATGCCTAAGCCAGAGTCCTGCCACCTCTCCAACACTCCTGTCCATGACTGCCAGCAGAATCATCACTCTTTCGAGTGCAATATGCACTGGCAGCATACTTTGCAGGAGGCTGCTATGTCCAGCATAGAGGGAGACAGAGATGAGCACCCTATTTGATGGTCAGTATAAGAGATCATCAATGAAAATGGCAGAAACATAGCAATTACTGAAAATATCTTCTACATAAGCAAGACATTTGGCAAATTTTTGTCTTGGGTATCTTATTTTCTCCAGGAAAGATATGAAAATGTCATTTACATTTTTTCCACATTATAATAATTATCTTAAAGCCAAACTTTTCATTTAGGCATAGAATTGGTTTATTTTAACTATGGACAATGGGAAAGAAAACTGCCAGAAATTATGAGAGTGGCTGTGGCTCTCTTTTGTCTCTCTTGCCTTTTTGTTCAAGTGAGTAAGACTCTTCAATGAGTCAGTTATAATTGGTGAGAAAATATCAGCCTTGATCAAACACTGGGTGCAAGCATTCTGCTCTAAAATATGGTCTTGACCAATAATTCAGAGTCAACAACCATCCTCAGCAATCCAACATTGAGATCTAAATGGAGAAGAGAGGAATGTATAAAGCAGGGCAAAAAACCCACAGTATACTATACATTAGTTTGTCAATAGCTACATACAGAAAACAACACAAATAAATAAATAAATCTGAAATAAATATATCTGAAAAATTTGTTGATTTTTAATACAACCTTCTAAAAGTGCAGCTTAAGAAAGGAGAGGACCTCCTTGCTTCATAAGCATCAAACCTCCTGGATTTTGTCCAGGAATTGTTATATACCCTAGCATTTTGAAGATTATTTTTTCAAGTGACTTCTCATTATTCTAAATAGCATCATTTGGAAGATGTTTAAGAAAAACAGGGGTGAAGTCTCCAGGGAAGAAATCTGTAGACTCCTTTCTTTGACCCTGCAAACTCATTTGCAAACAACCTAGTGCATGTTCAGCACACTCTGAACAGACATTAATATTTTCTAGGGTAGATTTAAATGGTTACAGAGGGAACACTACCTTTAAATAGATATGGAAGACTAATGTTGTTTCACTAAAAAGTAAATAAATTTACTGCAGGGGTCTTATCCACAAGGAGATAAATTACCCTAAGCCCTACAGGAACAAAAGCTGTAAGATAGTAAAATTATATTGCAATAAGTCCCCTATGCAGAAAAATGAGTGCAGAAAATCTAAATGTACATGATAAACTAAAACACCCCAGTCTTCATACATATGGAAATTTTTGTTTGGGACCACTAGGCAGGGAGATGACATATATGTAACCCTAAAGAATCATTTATACCTGGAACATAACAATGGGTTAAAAATAACAGGCTTATTGGTTTGGAAAGTTAAAGGTGTTCATAACAGCTACAGTACTTTATTTCCTATACAATTTTATGGAACCAGACAGATAAAAAAGAAAAAACCTTCTGAAAGTTCAGAATTTCACCTTTTCATTTTCTATTAGTGTGCTAGCTTCACTGGAAACAAACATGTTCCCCTTTTGCAGGATCTTCCTGTTAGTAACAGTTGCACATAAATAAAGTTTTCTAAACAAACATCTTATCTTTTTATGGAAGGAAGTCCATTAATAAGGAATTGACGTCCTTCCTTGAAAAAAAAGATCATTGCTAATTCTTTCCCATAAACTAAAGAAATAAACTTACACCCTGAGATTTTTTACTCTATTTTCACAGCAAACTGGCTTGTCTGCACGTAGATAAAATGGAACTATTTGGGTTTTCTTATAAACAATATCTCCGTTGCTACTTTGCCCCATAATACTGAATAATGAATTTCTCCCCTCTGTTTTTGATTGCTTTATGGAACTTGTGCCTTATTTCCATTCTACTCCATTCCTGTTAAAAGTATATGGCAGCCTTTGAGCAACTTTCAGCCTGGGAGCTTCAGAAACACACCATAACTTTCTAACATTTTGACCTAGGCCATTATTTCCAGAAAGATATCCTTTACTTAACAAATGCAGCCAAATACACTCTAGCACCTTTACTGTGGTCTTCACTGACTTTGTCAGCTACAAAGGACATTTCTTTTGCCCAAAATGAACTCTGTTATGGAAAATCCTCTGACACAACCTTCATCTTCTTCCCTTCTTCACCATAACTTTTCCTTCAGACTAAGAGAATTTGAAGTTGATACTGTACTGTATACTACTTGCAAAATATAAACCACAGACTTTTCTACCCACGGCTTCAGAAAACCAGCATTTTAACCTATTTAACCTAATGCTGAAAATAAAAATGTTAGTATGTTTAAGGAGAGTTTAGATTTACAGTGTAATTGTACATCCCAATTTAGAATCTCAATGCCATACTGCAAGGAGATCAGCCAAAGAGAATGGCAGAATAATGCAGTCTGTGATTATCCTGCGGGTATAAACTCAGGAGTCAGAATGCCACAGTATTTTTGCATGAAAAAATGTATTTACCTTAAACACATTAACTCTGGGGGACGCAAGAAACCTCATAAAATATTTACATAGGAATTTCAAAAGGAAATTTTAAGAAAAAAATTGCACAAGTGTTGCTAGAAAAATGCTGTTATTTCTCTTCAGTTGTATCTATAAATAAGTGCTATTTCAAGGCATCTATCCCAATTTTGAAAGATGAAACACTACTATCTTCTAGCAATCACACTTAGATAACCTAAGAATGGGAAAATAAAAAACCACAATCCTTTACCAAGAGTGTGCATCAACTTTTCTTACAGAATGCTTCACTTGAGAAGGTGTTTAACATATGTCTTAATGTAGATAAATAAGAGAGCGACAGGGAGTGAGACTGAGCACCAGGCTCCTCTCCTCTCCCTGGGTAGTGAATTCAAAGATTCCTTTCTGACTCCATTTTGTACTAGAACAGTTTGCTTTCCAAAGATCAGTCTGCTGTAGAGGTGACAAGTCCTGAGCAGGTAAGAGCCAGTCCACATTACACAGCTTTGGTGATGTTGGTTCCTTGCACTCTTTGGCCTCCCTATATAATGCTGATTTCTATTTATATTTATATTTAGACCTACAATACTATTGCTGGTGGAACCAGACGGCTTGTGCAGGTTTAGTAACACACACCTGAGTGTCACTATAAAAGCAAGAGCAATTTCTTCTTCCGTTAGCTCTATTCTTTTCAAAGACTTAGGTTCTCAGAAAGGTTTCCCCCCATTTCTGTTTAATTCTCAATAATGTACTGCGGAACAATGACCTTTTATAAAAACAAAACCAGAGCATTGCTTTAAAAGGTCACATAGTAACTCAGAAAACAGAGTAGATATTCTGGTATCCCATGGCAGAACTGGAAACAGGGATACAGGTGATAGCTTGAAAAGTATCCGGACAAAACAGTATGCTGAAGGTTTTTGTCACTTGTTAGAACTTTCACCTGTTCTCCAGGACTGCCCTGGAGTCAGTAAGGATACCTTATAAAATTTACAGCTTTTCTGCCTTACTTTTTCTTTACCCTCCTTCTCTTAGCATATTGCTTCATAAACCTTTTCTGATTTAGAATGGTTCTTGACAGGGCAGAAAGCTCGGGGCAGTCTCAAGAGAGCTCAGTAAATGTGTACAAAACACTAGGACCTTTGATAATTTTATCTTGTAAGATGGGAGTTTTGGTCAGCTGTAGCTAACAGCTGACCAAAATACCTGTGAATGGCTTTAGGACTGCTGAATGGATGGATGGTACCCAGCACAGCAAAGAAAGGAGCCCATCCAGCAGTGTCACTGTTACCTGTGCTGTTGTCCTCTCTTGTCCCTTCACCTCCACGTTCGGCAATACCGGCGTCGCAACTGGTGGAGGAGGTGCTCTGCGCTTTTTCACTTCTGGGTTTGCTGTCATTCCAGAGATGTTACCAAGGGACAGTGATGAACCCAGGCTACTGGAACGAGAATTCACCGAAGGGGAATTTGGTGCTGTGGAAAAACCCTGTAAATGGATTAACATCTTGGATTAAACTCACTCTTTAAAAACAAAGGGAAAGAAAGAAGAAAAACAAGACACATCTGGTTACCGTTTAAACAATGATATGAATAATCATGTATGTTCCTCTGCCAAACCTGCTGAATTACAAACGCTAACTTTTGGAAACTTCCAAAGGTCGACTGGAACAAAGCTTACAGGCAGTATTAATAAGACAGGAGGCATGATAAGCACCTACTGTGGTTTAACAGTAGTATTGATGGGAACACTGCTGCTGCTTGCTATTTAAAATTTAAAGTTCACATCAAGACTTGTAATTACAGTTATCCAAATGCATTTGCAGTTGCATTTAAATTACAAGTGTTACACATTTCTGGAAGCAAGATTTACTCTTAAATGAGAACACTGTATTAATAAAATGCTGTCAGTGTCTCAGGCTTGTCTATTTTGTTATCAATCTCCCTGATACACCTGAGTCTTCTCCGCAGATTTACATAAGAGAAATTCTGCTGCCATTAAACTATTTCCAATTTATATGCATAATCACGCATAATCACTTACAACTTACTGAAAACAACCATTTAACTTGGTGAAAAGAAGTCCTACTGACAGACACCACTCTGGATTCTAACAGGCCCAGATGAGAGGAGAAACAGAAAATTCAGAATTTCCTTACTGTTAAAAATTACTTTAGTTCTCATTGAAAACTTAATAAAATCATTGGAAAAAGTTTAATGCATTTCAGAATCTTAATACATTTTTATATTAATATGCAAACAGAAACATATGCAGTCACATAGTAGCAAATCTACAAATACAAAAGGTTAGAACTAGGATTCCGTGAAAATGTGCATTTTAACTATTTTAACTTTAGTCTTTACTCTTAAATTCGATACCTATTTTTTACTCTGCTAATAAAAATCTTGCAAAAAGATTTTTTTTTTCCCCTCAAAATCTGAGTCACCTTCTCCTTTTTTTAATTAAGAGAACCTTCTATATTAAACTGAAGATTTTACTTTTTAATTAAGTTATTTGACTGTAAGTTTTTCCCAGAAATATCTTCTGTGGAATCACCACTGATACCACCTCACCATGACCTGGAGCTGAATAGCTCTTCTGGAAACATAGGCTGATGAGCATGGTTGATAATGCTGTTCTTATCACAACAAAACATGCTACCACAATTTCAAAACTCTCCAATCAAGGACATATAGCTCTCTGGTGGAATTTTGTCCAAAACCACAGAATACATACTGGCAGGAAACTTAAAGGCCACCCCAAATGCCATTACTTTCAAAAAAAGAAAGACAATTTCTTTCCACAAGTGCCAAGTGCAAGCTTCGGTAAAAAATGAAAAAAACAGGGCAGCAAGATGAAAAACACAATTCATTTAGTTTTAGGACCATTGAGGAAGCACTGATAAAGCATAAAGAGCTAAAAAAAAAAGAGCAGTGCGAAAATATGTATAATACAGACTCCTTTACTTCCTGGGAAAGTTCCATGCTCCATAGATTGCTGTGAAAGCAACTGAGATGCAAACAGATTTGTGCCTTGTCCTGCATTTACTGTGTGTGTGATGTGAATTACTGACCTAGATGCTTTTGTTAACTTTTATGTTGCACACTGCACAGCACACTTCATCTTGGAATAATGTATTTAGCACAAGTGGAGTATGATACCAGTCTTCTCTGACTGAAAGCAGTGTTTGCTGCATCTTTTTCATCACTAATTTCTCTGAATTGAGTGGCATCAATAGTATCTTTACCCTTCTAGGAAAGGAAGAAAAAAAGGTTGAAGTAGAAGGTATTGTTTAAAAGATTAGGCATAAAATTATAGAGAACTAGTCTTGTCTTGGCCCTGTACCTTGGGCAGTGGAAAAAATAATGATCACATCTGTAAGCTAAAAGTTTTAAGTCATTATCAGGGCATACTGTACAAGGTCCTATCAAATAAAGTTTATTTACTCCTACAGAAACAATGGGTTCATGGAGGGAAATAGAGTCTCCTCTTTTCGCACATTTACAAAACAACTGAACAAAACAATTTCAAAGTGGGTTCTGCAGGTATGCTTTGACTCTATTAATCCTTTAACCTTCTAGATAAAAGGGTGGAGAAATTTTAGACAAAGATGTGTGAAAATAATAAAAAAACCCAAGACTTCCCTCTTAGCACTAAAAATACAGAGTGCTAGTAAGACGATAGGCTGTAACCAGTTTAAAATGAATATTCAATCTTATTTCAAGATCTTGCGGCAGAAGAGCTATCAAAACCCTTTTCCAAGTTACAGGTCATTGGGAAGGAACACAGTGATGAACAACTAAACAGGTTAAAGCTGCTTTGTCCTGTTTTTAAGCTTGGATTTCCTAACAGAAGATACAAGGGGAAAAAAAAGTAATACTTCCATGAAACTATAAGTATTTTTTAATAAAAAGACTTGAATGATAGAAAAAAACCCAACCTTGCAAGTTTATCTATTTTTTCTTTTCCAAGTCCAACCTTTATATCAAGCCTATTATTCCATTACTGAGCATTTCAAGAATGCTCATGTAAATAGCCTTGCCCTAAAACAAAAACTTGCCACAGCTTCCAGAGGAACAGAATGAGGACAGTTTTGAACTAGTTTGGAAAGCCCTCTCATGCAGCAACAAGAGCTTTGCCTAACTGGAGTCAGACCTTCAAATTCTCCCATGTGTGTAGTCATTTTCATTAGCTTTAAGAGAAAAAACAAAACCCCGGACACAAAACACTGACACAAGCGATTATGGTATGACTTGTCCTTTGTTGTAAAACTAATACCAATAGACAACACCTAACCCAGCTTTTATATTTTACCTTGGGTTACATGCAATGTAGTTCCTTTCCAAATCACAGGATTTTAGAGGTTTGTTTTTCAGGCAGTTTAGCAAGGCAAAGGCAACTATTAAGAGCATACAACATTAATCAAGAAAAATTGCAGGGACATGATATCTACATGCCAAATACTCTAACCATCTCTCATTTCTTGTTTTTCTAATTTGTTATCAAAGAAACAATTGAATTTCTGAAATGACAGCAGTGTAAGTGAGGAAAGCCAAGCTTAGGAATTGAAGCCAATGTTGCTGGCTAAAAAAAAGTCAGCCCCATTTCATTTGACAAACAGGTTAGCACGAATACTCTGCTTAGATTCCAAATTAGATTCCAAATCAGTTCACAGAATCCATGTGCTTCACAAGGGGGAAAAAAAAAGAAAAAAGGAAAAAAGAAAAAATAAATTAATAAGAGAAAAGTCATAGAAACCAATTATATAAAGAGCTTTCAAAACTGTCTCAACTCGCAAAATCACAGTCTAAGCCACTAGTGTTGGAGCACTTTGCTACCAGTTCAAACAGCAATTAATTAATGTGAACTAGAAAGAAAAAGAAGCCGTTTGATTTGGGGTTGTTTTTTCCCCCTGAATTAAAGCAAACCCAATACAAAACCGGACAGACCAGCATAGGTCAGCAGTCAGGTTAGACACTAGCTGAGCATAGGTTTGGAATATGTACTGAAGCACAACCTTGGATTAGAGCCCATTTCAATTCCATGAAGATATCAGAAGGAGGCAAGAAACAACTGCCATACCAACCTATGGTGCCATCACGTGTCATCACCATTTCATGTTAAACTTGCCAGCTAGGTTTTTCCCCCTCTTATTAAACTTCTGAAACCCAAGGAACATCCTGTTCTTTCCTAATGTACCAGGTGTTTTCTTTGGGGTTCAGCAATTTAATGTTAAGATTTTTTTCCTACTAGTTCTTCTGTTTGAAATTTAGCTATCAAAGACATTTTTGCAGGGTAAATAAGGACTGCTAAAAACACAGAATTATGAAGGCTAAGAGTACTCTGGTGAGGTACGCATACCACTCTCATTTTCAGAAGACACCAAGCAGTCAGCTTTCTACAAGACTCCTAAAGTCCCATACCTGCTGAACTCAACACAAGATATATTAAGAGCCTAAAGTTGAGGCCAGTCTCTGTTCCAAGGTCATCAACCCAGAATGCAATTGTAAACTATCTTTTTCAAACTACCTCCTTTTCAAGATAAACAGAAGTTCTGGTATCTTATGGATACTTGGAAAATTTTGAAGTCATATATAAATAAAGGTAAGTGTAATCTATTAAAAATATAGCTGTACTGCTGTGAGAATTCAGCTTTACAAAAGCAGATGTGTATAAAAATGGAAATCAGCTTATGATTGTTTTTAAAGTATGTTCCTTATATATAACTTTCTTACCTCAAGCCCTGTTATTAGCATTTCCTTGACTTTCTGATGACACTAAGTGGCATTTAAAGGTCAGCAAGGAAGAGGCTGCAGATCGCCTGTGAGAGTGATTTGACTTCCTGTTCCCTGTCCACACCGGTCAATAAAAATTTTTCAAAATGTCAAGTTCTTTTCTTGCAAGGTTGCTACAGACAAGCCTTTCTTCCGCAGCTCTTTGCCAAAACTCACATATTTGAGCTCCCAGTGTTGTTGTGCAACTTCCTTCTCAGAAGTTTTTAAATCAGAAGTAATCAATTGAGCTGTTTTAATGCACTCAAAGTACCAGCTGTATTAGCAAAAAGTAAGGGTTTTATTTTTTCCAAAATAGAGACAAAAAATAAAAGTATCATAAAGAATATAGGTTTTTTTGCAAGTATATTATGGGTAAATATGAAATGTAAGATTTACAGCAGGCAAACAAATTCATCTATTCAGTGACAGCAAGAATATTTATGCCTGTTAGATAGTTAAACTCCATTAATGCAAACCTTTATTGATTAGCTGAATGATACCACAACTGATTACAACTGGCCATATAAAGTGCCAGAAAGTGAACTAGAAGCTGCTTTCCATTACATGACACTGATATTACACTAAATTTGCACTAAAATTGACAACAGAAACAGAATTAACAATTAACAATTAACAGAAACTGAATTAATCCAAGATCCTGCTTCAAAACTAAAGCATTATACTAGTCATGACATTGCTGGGACACACAGTTTA